GCTGACTAAGATGATTTTTCAACTTTTTCCTTTTCTTTTTCTTATTAAATTCCGAAATTCAAGAATAGTTAAAAATAAAGGGGAATTGTTTTTAGTTTAGTAACTCTCGCAATGCTCACATTTGCAGTATTAAAAAACTCAATAAATGTGAATTGATTTTAATAAAATCACATAAAAAAGACTAAAATAGGATAAATTTTAAGTGGGGGTATTATTGAAATGCATTAGTGTGTTAATGACTAATATATATATATAAAGAAAAGCTAAAGCCATCTCTATTATTATTTTCAAGTGGTTGCTTTTTGAGACATTGATAGGGACTCTACTTAATTGAAAAAATAATTGAAAAAAAAAATCAAAAAAAAAAAAAATCATTATAGATTCAACCATTGAAAATATAAAAAAAAGGGAAAAAAAAGAGAGAGAGAGAGAGAGAGAGAAATATAATGTAATGTCACAGTACAAAGCACTAATGTGAGATAATTTTAATTAATGAAGGGTTGAAATTATTCTTGGCCCAACATATGTATGAAGTGACGAATTATCAATGAACAAACATTATTTTATAAAAAAAATACACACACACAAAAAAAAAAAAAAAAAAAAAAACAATTTCACTCACATGTATATATTCTTAGTTTTTTTCATTCTTTGTTTAATTTATTGTATTTGTATCTTTAATATTCGGAAACAATATAACATTTATAGCTTACGTTTGCACCGATTTCACATTTGATATCCCGTATTCATAAAAAAAAACATATTTGGTCACTCGTGTTTCAAAAAATTCAACATTATTATTCCTTCCTTTTAGTACAAATGGAATCAAGCGTGTGCCGATAACTGCCTTACCTGACAAACTAACAGTGAAGTGACGAAAATGAACATAAGTGTTAAATTATTAAAATACGAGGAACCAAATGTGTATTGTTTTTAACATGAAGGACCAAATATGAAAACAGTGCAAACTTGAGGGGTGGAAACTGTAATTTTCCCATATAATAACTATTGATTTCATGTGGAGTCCCGTTTTTTTTATTGAACCCATTTATTTGGCCCATTTATAATTGGATTTGGGCCAGAATAATTTATTTATGTATCTAATGTATATTGGAATATTATAAATATTATAATTTATAAAATAGGATTTGATTATTGTTAGATTACGGAGAAATCCCTTTTTAATACCAAATTTTAACAATTTTAATATAAAATTTTATTTAGTAAAATATAGAATGTTGGATATTAAATTCTATATTTGTGACTCAGATTTTAGAAAGAATGTTGAATATTTAATTGAATAAATTAGATTTGCTAAACTATTAATTGTGTTGAATAAAACCTAATATGGAAGTTTGACAATTTTCATCTTCATGAATTCTCTAAAAAATAATTTTCTTGAATAATCTAAAATTTCCTATTTACGATTTCATATACTTAAGATGTAAGTATCGTAAAAAAAGAAACCCATGAACTCCATCGAGATCGATTTTTAGAAACTAACGGTTCCACTCCGTAACCACCACAGACGTTCGTATAAGAAAATAAAACGATAAACACGTTCGCTTAAAAATCGACTTTATTTATATCCTTTTACACTTTCCTAAATAGTAAATACTCGAATTCGCAACTTGGTAGAATTCCTTAATTACCACTACTACTATTTTCCTAAATATATATAATTACTTACATATAATTTTATAATTATAATAATTATTATTTAATAGCTAAAATATTCTTGAATTTGACAAAAGTCTCCTGGGTTTTTAGAAAATTAATATTTCAATTTTAATATATCTCAACATTGATTACAACAATTTGGGGGAGAAATTAAAATTACAGTACATATCCATAAAATCGTGTTGTTACAATTAATTAAAGTCGCTAATAAAAAACGCGACTTTGGGTAGAAATTGATTACTACACTCGGCAGGAAAAGCAAAAGTATACAGTAGCAATCAAATCAAAAACTCGCCCGTGATTTTGCTTCTTGTTCTTTCTTCTTCAATCTTTCAGAAAACCCAGGTAAGTTAATTCTTCAATTTTGCTTTACTGAACGAATTTCCAATTTTTTTAATTTATTAATGGCAACCGTTATTTTTTTTAATTATCAATTTTTTTCTGTAGTGGGCGTCTTTTTTCTGGTTTGATTATTCGCAGATAAAAAACATTTATGATTCGATTTTGTGTTATCCCAATTTTGTAATCGTTTAACGGTAAAAAAATTAGGGTTCTTATGGTGGGTTTTTCGGAGGAATTAAAAAAAAATTGAGATGATCCTTTGTTGTATGTATCTTTTCAAAATTTTGGGTTAAATTTTTTTTTTTTTAAATTTCAATTAATTGTTTATTGATTTTCTCTCCATGAACAGATTTTTATTGAGTAGGTGATGGATGGAATGAATGGGCCGCCGGTTCTTGATGTACCCGTTGTTGCCCCGCAAGAAACAAACGAAGTCGAAAGCTTGAATCAACGTGTTGATGAAATATTTGTAAGAGTTGACCAGGTAGAACTTATTGGAAGCTTTTCAAGAAATTTCCAATTTTATTTTTGAATGTTCAATTTATTTTTGGGTAGTAGCATTTGTGGAATTTCTTATGGTGGATTGTGCCCTAATCGCAATGTCCCGTTTATAAGGGTTATCGAGTATTAAGCAGAGAGCTGAAGATTTAAAAGATTTTGGTAATTTGACTCGTTTCCGGGTTAATTTATTGAGCTAATGATGTTACGTGCGTCGTCAATTTTAAGTGAAAGGTTCGTTTGAGAGAAAATAGGAAATCGAAATTTGTTTGCGGATATCTCCTCACAAAGGGAGATCAAACATTTAATGTAAATGATTACTTACGTTGTGTAGTATAATCCATGAATTCATTACATTTATTACGATAAGCCGTATCGAATCGTGATTTAGAGTTTAACTCGACACATCACATGGACTATAACAAACGTGATTTTTTAAAATTTGTGTTGCATTTGCAGCTCGAGCAACAACTGACTGAGGTGGAACAATTTTACTCGAGTTCAAACACGAAGCAACCTAATGCTCAAAAAGGCGGCTCCAACGGGAAAGAGAAAGATAAGGAAAAGTTAGTTACGAACCTCAAAAAGAGGCAACAAGATTCAGCTCGTAGGGAAGCGGTTGGCGTTAAGAGAATGCAAGAGCTTATGCGCCAGTTCGGTACACTATTGCGTCAGGTAATTCAAATCAAGATTGTAATTTTTTTTTATTTTATGCGAACTTTTTTAAATCTTGAATTGGATGATTATGCATTGGATTCCTATTAAAATTCCATCTTAACACCTCTATATATTCTCCTACTTTAGTGCTTTTTAACAGACCGTAAAATGAACGTGGGTTCCGTTTTCTTCATGTCTATCTGTTAGGGATGGGAATCGGAAGGATCGAATCGGAATTAGAACTTTTGGAAAAATTCCAATTTTATTTTCGGAAGTAAAAAACTAATTTCAATTCCGTTCCACAAAAGTTCGAAGAAATCGGAATTTCGGAAATAGAATGAAAAAACTTGTTCCTAAATTTGAAATTTTCGGAACGGTGGGATTCGTAAATTCCAATTATTTGTGTATAACACAAAATGATATTGATATTATAAGTGTAATTTTCGGAATTTGCGGAATTAAAGTTGGATCGGAAATCAAATCTAATATGTATTCCAATTCCGTTCAAAAAAGAATTTGGAAAAATCGGAAATATTTATCAGTACTCTATAATTATCTTTTTTACTTGATCTTTTCACTTTGTCAGATAACTCAACACGAGTGGGCGGACCCGTTTATGAAGCCCGTTGACGTGATAGGTCTTGGCTTGCATGACTACTATCAAGTAAAAATCAGTCGCCCAAGGACTTTTCCGTCTTTTTACTTCTGCCAATATGTTGATAGTATTTTTACTAAATCTATTGACACGTGTTATTATTAGGTTATCGAGAAGCCGATGGATTTCAGTACAATAAAAAGCAAAATGGAGGCCAAAGATGGAACTGGTTACAAAAACGTTCGAGAGATTTGCTCAGATGTGCGGCTGATATTTAAAAACGCAATGAAATATAACGACGAAAGGGACGATGTGCATGTTATGGCCAAAAGTTTGTTGGATAAGTTCGAGACGAAATGGCTGCAACTTTTGCCAAAAGTTGATGAAGAGGTAATAATAATAATAATAATAATAATAATAATTATTATTATTTCTTGTTTCTTTGATTTTAAGGGCGTTTTAGTAAATTGGTCTATTTTACTAAAAAGGAAAAAAGGCGGAAAGAAGAAGAAGCTGAATTAAAACAAGGTATGCAGCTTGCTCAAGAGGCTGCTCATGCTAAAATGGCTCGAGATTTAACTTTTCAGGTAATTTCGATAGAAAAGACTCGTTTTTTATCTACTTTGATGAACTCGTTGATACTCGTAGACGTAGTTATTAATTATCTGAAAAAAACTGTTCATGATTATTTTCCAGCTGGATGAGGTCGATACGAATCTGGAAGAACTCCGAGAAATGGTACTTCAGAAGTGCAGGTATGTTATGTGGCAAACACGTAGAAATAATATTGACTAAAATGCCCTTCTAAAGGTTCTTATTTGACATATTTACCCATTTGTGGCTTTTTATTTTCTCTTTATCACTTCATTAATGTTACGGTAAGTTGCACAAAAAAATAAAATTGTCTGGTGTTCGATGTGATATATATTTAGAAAGAATAGTATCGACGCTATTTGAGATGATTATTTTGATCATTTAATTTTGCGTACACGTTAAATAAAATATCGGTCAAGAGTTCAGACCATAATAAGATGTGAGTTGACTTTGTAGTA